CTGTCCGGAGGTTGCTCCTGACCACTGGGTTTATTTTGTTTTGCAGAGGAGGCAGATGTTGACCTCTCTTCTTTGCACAGTCTCTCCGCGAAATCTTCCCCCAACCATTTGCTTTCTTGCGCCACCCCCCACCGGGGCACTATCCCCGGAGTCAGCTCCTCAGGCCTTTAAACCTTCCAGAATGTCACACATGGAAACCTTTAACAAATGTTTGTTAATGGTCATAACAAAGGCATCATTCAAATTAGGCAGGTAATTACTACCAGAAGGACAACTGGGTGCTCGCTTGCTCATCCATTGCTTTCTGCTTTAAACTCCTGAGGAGTCGCTGCCTGGAGCCACTCCCGCCCGGGCTGCTTTTCGGGCCCCATTAAACGGCTCTGAAATGAACTGTGAAGTTACCATTTGTGGGCGGAGAGCGCTGGGGCCCTGCGGACGGAAGACCCTGGCTTGACCGGGCTAGCAGTGTCGCCGAAACAAAGCAGTCCTTCTGGGTAGGCTCTGTGTCTCGCCTCCTACCCTCTGGGGCAACTCGCCTAAAAACCCAGTTCTCAACTTAACAGCAAGAAGCCCAGCAGCCGCGTTTGCCTTTTATTCCGCACTCTGATTTTTGGGGGGAATCGTTTGTCCCGCTCATTTTCTACAAACATTACGGTATCCTGTTAGCATTCCGAACAAGGGGCTGTTCATATATTTGCCTTCAATGATTTCCTGAAGGAACATGTGGAAGTAATAGCGAGCTGTGCAGTCACCCGAGCTGAAGATGCACGAGAGCAGGTCGCGTAGAAGAGCTGGGGCAATGGGGCCCCCAGCGCAGCCCCAGGCGCCCTATTTCCGAGACTGATACCCCAAGATCCTGTCCTAATTAGACACAGCACCGCGCCCGTTGGAGTACTTCTCTGTGACTCTCCTCTGTCCACTGCACTGTGTCCACCCTCCTGGTGAAGGAGGAGACGGCTGTTGGACGTGCCAGTCCCAACCTGGCCACCTTGGCCATTTTCAGAGTGCTTGTGTGGGGGTGGGGTTGAGGGAGAAGGATGAAGGATGACCCCCAACCCCAACAAGAGAATTCAGAAATCAGAGAGCGAGAAAGGTGAACGCGCTCCCATCCCCCGCTGTCTCTGGGAAGCCCCACTCTGCCCAGGTCTGGTTTCTGGAGCATCAGCGCCCCCTTTCCCTCGCCGGCAGGATCGTTTCCTCCCGACACTGGCCTCGCGCCTTGGGCGCAGGGTTTGGGGCTCAGCTGTCAACTCTGAAGCATTCGTAGGGTTCGACCCACTCGGCGGGAGGGAACGGAGGGAGAATCAAAAGGCACCCTCTCCCACGACGCGGAGGCGGCGGGACGATTCCCCAAACGCCCAAGCTTGAACTTTTTTGTATGCGAGTTAGAAGCCAGGACAACCTCGCCCAGATAACCCCCAAAACAAAGGCACGACCAGATAAGTTACTTAAAGGGAGTAAAGGTCGTTCTATCGGAGAACGTTCCAAACCTACACAGACCCTCTTTTCTTTGTACCCTATTTCAGACTCCACCCAGTCTTGCGCGCACACACACACACACACCCACCCCACACACAAAACAAAAACCCATCGTTGTCATATTGGACTCAACAGTTTGCCTAATCCCATTGAAGAACTAGCAACTATATAGCCCTTAGCCCTTCCCCTAAAAGACCCTTAGTTCAAAACCGCGCAACCGCTTGGAGATTTCTCCCGAGGGCCCGATTTCTAGTTGGGCCGAGTTTGTAGAAGGGACGTTTCTTGATTCTAGATTTATATTCTCTCTGGGTATTAAATGCAGTTTTGTATGTTCCTTTTCTTGTTTTCAAAGAGAACACAAAACTATAGCAGTCTAAGAAAATAACCCCAAAATGGGGAGGCAAACTCATTCTGGAAATGATGGGCTGTTTGTAGTTTCACAAAACCGCTTTCCCGGCAGAGCACCAACACCTCCCCCTTCCACCCCCCCATCCCATCTGGTCGGCTTCTCCCCGCCCCCCAGTTGTTGTCGAAGTCTGGGGGTTGGGACTGGACCCCCTGATTGCGTAAGAGCAAAAAGCGAAGGCGCAATCTGGAGACTGGGAGATTCGGAGCGCAGGGGAGTTTGAGCGAAACTTTTATTTTGAAGAGACCAAGGTTGGGGGGGGGCTTATTTCCTGACAGCTATTTACTTAGAGCAAATGATTAGTTTTAGAAGGATGGACTATAACATTGAATCAATTACAAAACGCGGTTTTTGAGCCCGTTACTGTTGGAGCTACAGGGAGAGAAACAGAGGAGGAGACTACAAGAGATCATTGGAGGCCGTGGACACACTCTTTACTCCATGTGTGGGACATTCATTGCGGAATAACATAGGAGAAGGTAAGGAAGAAGAAAAAATGATTTTTTGTTTATAAGAGAAGTCCCTGATCAGACTCTGGGACTGGAGAAAGCGAAGTAACTTCAAACTTTGGGCGACAAGAAAAAAAAATGGAGTTGGATTCCAAATGTGTGTTCAGAGAGCAATTTTTTTTTTTTTTTTCGGAATAAACTTCACTTGGGGGTGGGTGGGAGATAACCATAGAATTAGAAAGTCTAGGGATTTTTTTTTAAACACACATTTTCCAGACCTATTTTTAAAAAACAATGTTTTTCTAACAACCCTATGGCCTCCCAAAGAAATTGTTTAGGCTTACATTTTTGAGGTTTCTTTTGGGAGTGGGGGTGGTGTTCATGAATACTGGGCCGAACACCAAGGAACTGGGGGTGGAGGCAGAGGTGTTTGCCCTCTTCTTGGCAGTGAGTCCTGGAAGGCGACAGGTTTTAAATGAGTGTTTTCATTCCTCGCCTGCGGTTTGGCGGGACAGCGCTGCAGCCCGTGGTGTGGAGCGCGGCTGGGGGACCAGGGGAGGTGGGGAGAGGGGAGCGCGGAGGGGGGCGCGGGAAGGGGTTGCTGGTCGCAGGAGGCGGGCAGGGCTCGGCTGGTGACCGGACCTCCGTGCTGGCCTGCAGCACATGGAGCCGGTCGAATGCGCGTAATTACTGGACGGCGCTGCTCTGGGTGAGAGTCCGAGCCAGATTTGGCGCAGCGGTGACGCGGCTGCGGGACAAGCAGAGGGGAGCGGGCGTGGGCAAGGGTTTGGGGCGCTCTGGAGGGGTTTGTCGGGTCAGTGAGGTGCTAGGGAGAGCGGGTGCCTGCTCGGCTGTACGCTCGGGTTGCACGCCCTAGCGCGGGGGCGACAGCGGCGGCGCGGGCGGGCGGTCTGGAATAATGACAAACACATTTGGCCCTGAGTGAAGAAGTCGATGTCGCCTCGCATTCCAGCAACTGGGATTTGAGGAATTTCGAACCGCACACCAAGGGGTCCTCATTGTGCGCCGTGGCCCCCGCCCCCGCCCGTCTCCCCGCGCCCCCTCCTCGGTGGAACCGTTTCTGCATTGCCCGGGGCTCTGCTGCCGCTCAGTTCTGGCCTCAGGCAGGAAGAGAGGAAAGGTCTCCAGGAAAGTGTCGAACTTCTTGGGAGTAAGTTAGGGACCACTTGGAACTGGGGAAATTTGTTTGCAGGTAAGAGAAAGGTGGGAGGTAAACCACATTCTCCCTCCGGGCAACTGAGCCCTGGGCACCCCCTACCCGGCGCCCCTCTCCGCGCGGGGGTGCACGGCACTTGCCGTCTGCGCTCGCCTAGCGCTGCTCGGTCCTCTCTAGTCGCCCTTTTTCTCCATTCTTCTCCCTGCCGGGTTCAGAGCCGTCTGTGCGTACTTCTCCTTCCTCTGCTGTCTACCCCCATGGAAACAAGGTTTATACACGATTAACTCCGCCCGGCTGCGTTCGGGGAGCGGGCTGCGTCAGTTTGACTCTGAATATGTGGGATCAGCTGTTCTATTCCGAGAGGGTGACGGCCAGGTCGGAGCGACAAGGAGTGTGGCCCCACCCGAGTCCGGTTGCCGGAGGAAGCCAGGAGCCGGGGCCGGGCCAGGTGTGCGGGAACTGCCGGTGACCTGGCCTCGCGTCTTGGTCGGGAGGGACTTGCTGCCCAGGCCGGCTGTCCGTTGTGCATCCCTCCTGCAGCCAGAGGGCCGGTCCCGCACTTCGCTCCCCCAGTTCTGCTAAGACCTCAGGATGTGCGCAAAGAGTGCCTGGAAGAACTTGCTACTCACTCCATCTCCCTGTGTGGGAGGCAAGCATGGATGGGACCCCTATCAGGTCCCGACCGCCCCACGTCCGAAAAGCCCCGGGCTGGGCGGTGTGGGAAATGGCTTTTTGGCTCCGAGGCCGAATTGCTCAATGTTTTGGACCGACTCGCCTCGCCGCGGTCGCTCCTGACCAGAACTAGACAGATTTTTGGAGCAGGGAGAGGCATCCAGGGCAAACGAGGCACGACAATCCTCCGCAGTGCATCTCACCCGACAAACATCCCGCAGCCACAGAAGGGGAGGAAGGGGTCCCACGGGCGTGCGCACCTCACCAGCCGCCGCGCTGTCCCACCCCCGACCCCTAATCTGGTCAATCTGGACCCCCGCACTGCCGAATTGCATCCCCTCCCTCTTCTCCCTCTCTCTTCGGCCTCCTCCTTTCCACAATCCTCACTATGAGGAGGCCCTGCCTCGCCTTCCCGACAGGCGCGAGGCGGAGCAGCCTCGCTTTGACGCACAGGTCAGGCCCTACTTCGGAGCTTGCACAGTTTTGGGTTGAGCCAAGTGCAGCTGGACCTCGTTCACAAGAGTGAGGAGGAACGAGAGTGGGGGGACGCCAAGAATGAACCCGTCGTTAGCCCCCGGTGCCCTGGCTCTTGTTTAAATCGTTAGATCGAGAGGGACTTGAAGGAGAGCCCAGGCTCCCAGCTCTCCGCCCCTGGGCCAGTTTCCTCTCGGGACGCGGACTGAGGAGGGATGCAGGGGGAGGGGCATTGGGCTGGGCTTTCCAGCTGCAAACACGTCTGGCGCCGAGGCGGGCCCATTTTGTGCCTCCTGGGGACAGACCGTGGGCGGCGCGCAGCGGCGGGACGCATTTTGGGGACGTGGTGGCCAGCGCCTTCCTGCAGACCCCGCAGGGAAGGATTCCCTCTGACCTCCGGGGAGCTGCGACCAGGTTATACGTTGCTGGTGGAAAAGTGGCAATTCTAGGAAAAGAGCTAAAAGCCTGATCAGTGACCGAAAGGTGTGGGTCTCAGGGTCCCCCTGGTCTAACTCGCCGGGTCCACCCGCAGCATCAGCCTTGGGGCGGCAGATAATCTTTCGGTCTCGCCTGGGGCGCAAGATACAGGATCGGGGCAAATGGCTTCTCCCAACTTCGCCCTAGTTCAGTTTCTGCCAGATGGTTGTCGTTTGCTGAAGTGGCTCGGCGGCATTTCCTTTTGTTTTAAACTGATCAGTGAGCGAACCCGGGATGGGCTGAAAAAGTAGATTGTAGGAGGGAATAATGGGAACCCCGACTTGGGGCGGCTTCTTCCCTGCCTCCTGCTGCAGTTTCTCGGCCCCCGCGAAAGGGTAGCTACAAGCGCGGGTGGGCGCGGACTCGTCAGGGGGCAGAGGCGGCTAAGGCGCGTGTCGGGCAAGCTGGCACCAGAGGGCACTTTTTTTTTTTTGGACAGAGTCTCACTCTGTCGCCCAGGCTGGAGTGCAGTGGTGCGATCTCGGCTCACTGCAACCTCCGCCTCCCGGGTTCAAGCGATTCTCCTGCCTCAGCCTCCCAAGTAACTGGGATTACAGGTGCCCGCCACCACGCCAGGCTAATTTTTGTATTTTTAGTAGAGACGGTATCACCATGTTGGCCAGGCTGGTGTCGAACTCCTGACCTCAGGTGATCCGCCCACCTCGGCCTCCCAAAGTGCTGGGATTACAGGCGTGAGCCACCGCGCCGGGCCAGGAACAGTTCTTAAATGCCGAGAGGGCCGCAGGCTAGCTCTCTCTAGCATTCCATGTGAGCCGCTACCCACTGCCAGGCGGCTCTCGTGCCCATAGGAGGCGCTGGCGAGCGCCTGTAACCCTAAACCCCTCGGCCCCTTTTCCCCTACCCGCCCAGCCTCTCTTCCCGCTCTCCCCCCTCTCCCCACACCCTGCCCGGCCCCCTCTCGGGTCTCAGTTGAAAACAATGCAAACGCCGAGCTTTGTGCCTGGGGCGAGGCGGCCTTTGCAGCTCTGAGGTACAGAGTGCGGCGCGCACGGACGCAGGTCCCGGGAGCGGCTGGGCATCGCCACCAACCCCGGGACAACCGAGCCGCCGAGGGCGTAGTGGAGGCGGGAGGGCGAGCCGACCGCGCAGTGTTCCTCTGGATCCCGGGGTCAGAAACCGGACGGTGGCTGGGGCTGGACTGTCCGAGCGCAGAGCCTCCCGGGTGAAGTCTGCGCGCAGCACTCCCCGCAGCGCTGTCGGGGACCAGGAGCCTGTGCCGTGGGCTAGCGGGCCGGCGAGCCGGGTAAGATTCGCGGGGCTGTCGCGCCCTCTAGTGGGCTCTGGGGGCGCATCCCGCTTTCCCCAGCCCCGGGCGGTCGGCGCCCGGATCTCAGTGGAGCGCGGCGCTGGAACCCCGGGAGCCCGGAGCGGAGGCTAACCTGGGTCACCTTTCCTTTCCTCCGGGCCGCCAGTGGACGCCTCGCAGGCTCTGTGTGGGCCCAGAAAGCGCCAGGTGGACGAGAGGGGGCCGAGGTCGCTGGGTTTGGATTGAGAATGGAGCGTCCTTTTAGTTCAATGTGGGAGAAGCAGGGGAGGATGGAGGAGGATGGGTCCCGTGCGTTCTCGGGGGACAGGCGCCGTCTTCTGCGTTCCAGCCCCTCGCCAGCTCCCTTTCCCCTTGGGCGGCCTGTTGCTGTTTGTTTATTATACGACCCTGCGTTATTGTGCAACGGGAACAGTCGTTTCTAATGCGCCCGCGGTTCCCGGGCTGCGCGGCCGTCGCGGCCTTCGCCAGGCTGGTTTATGAGGGGCAGCGGTGTCGCGCGGACAGATAGGGCAGCGCAGCCCGGGAAAGGCGTCGCGGCCAAGGCGGTCCCCCGCCCCGAGGGGGCGGAAATGCTGAGGTGTCGAGAGCGTGGGTTTTACAGAACCCGAGTAGCGAGTCCGGCTGAGTCTCTGCGGCCTGGCCCGGCAGCGTCGTCGGAGGCTCCCGAAGCCCCGCTGTCCCAGCGCACTCGCTCCCAGTGATGGGGATGGTGATGGGGACGATGGGGAGATGTCCGCCTACCCCGAATTCTTCTGGGGTCCCGAGGAGATTTAGCCATTTTCAACAGCAGTTTTCGTATTTCTGCTCAAACCCCGCGGGCTTTCAACTGAGGTCGCCACGAAAGCTAAAAGTACAGCCTAAGGAAGGGGGAGACTGGAGGTTAAGATTTGGGATAGTGGAGCTCAGAATTCCTGGCAGACGCGTCTGTGTCGCAACCCCTGA